ATTTCAGTCTCGTATAATTTATATGTGGTAATGAAATATTATTCTTTTCATTTGTGTCCACCATTTAAAAATATGGAAACCATTCTTAGTTCATGTGCTGTACAAACACAGGTGGTGGTCTGGATTTAGCCCGTGAGCCACAGTTTGCCGACCCCTGTCCTAACCTGCTCCTCTGTCTTCTCCCAGAGGTAACCGTTGTCTTGAATTTCAGATTTATCATTCCTATAAATTTTTTAAATACTTTTTCCCACATATGTATATGTACCTTCAAAGTGTATTGGTTTGTTTTGCTTATTTTTGAGCATTGTAAAAATAAACCATACTTTGTAGATTGGGACTTTCTTTTTTCATTCAACATTTTTCTAAAATTCTTTCATGTAGTTGAGTATAGCTGTATAATATTCCATTGTGTGAGTATACCACAGTTAGTTCTCATGACAACTAGTAATAGTTGGTTGTAGGTTGGTTCCAGTTTTGCTTTGATAATTCTTGTATGTCTTCTGTACATATATATAAGAATTTTTCTTCGTTATTAATTTTCTTCTGTTGAATAACTTAAAGGAAAACTTCTGAATTTTATAAAAAATGAAGCAGTATTATTTCTCTTGAGAAATATTTCTGTGAACTCATCTTAAATTATTCTGTATTATGCTAATGGAAAATGCCTTTAATAATCTATACTTAAACATTTCATTCATTCATTCATTTAGTGTTACACAAACACAATGTCTGCAATATATTAGGTTTGGTGTCAGCAAGAGAATTTGATAAGCAGTAAAGTAGATAGACAATTAAACCAACAATTAAGTAATAATAACAACTTCTGTTGAAAGCTTACTATGCCAGACTCCATGTTAAGCAATTACATGCAATATCTCTGTATTAGTCTGCTAGGGCTATTTTAACAAAATATACAAACTAAGTGGCTTAAACAACAGAAATTTATTATCCCACAGTTCTGGAAGGTGTAAGTTCAAGATCAGCATGTCGGCAGGGCTGGTTCCTTGTGAGAGTATAATACTGGTGAAGGGATAGACATACAGATTAATGCAACAGGATGGAGAATCCAAAAATGGATCCACACAAATATGCCCAAGTGATTCTTGATAAAGAAACAAAAGCAATTGAAGACAGGAGTGATTGCCTTTCAATATTAGTGCTGGAGAGATTGGACATCCATCCATAGGCAAACATAATAACCTTGACCTAAACCTCCCATTTTATAATCAATTCAAACCAGATCATGCACTTTCTTGTAAAACAAAATCATAAAACTTCTAGAAAAAAAATTTCATGACTAGGACTAGACAAAGAGTTCTTACATCTGACACCAAAAACCTTATCCATAAGAGGAAAATTTGATAAACTGGAGTTCATCAAAATTTAAACTTTTTGGTCTACATAAGACCCTGTTAGGAAGAAAATACAAATTACAGACTGGGAGAAAATATTTGTAAACCCCATATTCAACAAAGGACTTGTATCTAGAATATAAAGAGTCACCAAACTCAACATTAAAAACCCAAAAGAATCCAGTTAGAAAATGGAACAAAAGACATGCTAAGCATTTCACTGGAGACAATGGCAAATAAATACACAAAAGGTGTTAAGCATCATTAGCCAATTGGGAAATGCAAATTAAAACCACAATAATGTATCTTACACACCTATCAGAGTAGCTAAAACAAAAAATAGTGATAAAAACCAAATGCTGATGAGGATGTGGAGAACTGTACCACCCACATTGCTGGTAGGAGTGCAGAATGATACAGCCACTCCGCACAATAGTTTTTCAGCCATTTTCAAATTAAAAATGGATTTGCCATACCAATAGCAGGTGATTACCCATTCTTGGGCATCTATCCCAGAGAAGAGAAAACTTAATTTCACTTGGGAATTTGTACTTGAATGTTTTTAGCAACTTTACTCAAACGGCCAAAAACCTGAAACAACTCCAGTGTCCCTCAGTAGTCAAAAAAACACCTAATGGCAGACCCGTGCCGTGGTGTGCTGCTCAGCAGTGAGGCGGGGCTGGCCATGGCTGTGTGCGTGCATGCCTTGGAAGTAGTACTGAGGGAAGAGCAGTCTCGGAAGGAGGCACACTGTAGGATTCCGTGCATAAATAACTCAGGAGGTGCAGTTGCAGATGGAGAGCACATTGTTAGTTGATGCTGTCAGGGATGAAGTGTTAGAGTACGGGTGCAGTTAAGTATCTTGATTGCAGTGATGGTTACAGAAAGCTACACGTGTGATGAGATCACACTGGTGCAGCGCATGTATGATGGTGAAATCTCTGTTGTTTGTCCCAGAGCCCATTCAGATTTGGTAGTGTGCTGTGGTGTTTTGCGAGGTGATAAATTGGGGGAGACTAACGAAGGGCTCTCGGCAGCACCCTGTACACATCACCCTTCTGTGAATCTATAACATTTCAAACTAAAACATTAGAAAAATCACTTCAAAGTAACTCAGCATTTTTTACTCCTCATTCTCAAATCCCGTGAAGGGAAGACGTAGTCTCCAGCCCCGTCCTTTAAGTGGCTCTTGGCTCCCGTCCACTGTCCTGTGACTGTGTAGACAGCCGGGACATCTTCTGAGAGTCCCCTCACCTCCTTGCCTGGCCCTGCCTGTTTCTTGTTTTCCTTCCCCTTTTCTACTCTCTGACCTATGTTCCAAAAGCTCAGGTAAGGACAAGCCAGCACCAAGCTGTCCTTGAAGAGGGAGGAAACCGAGTGAGCAGTCGGCCCCTGCCCCACGGGAAGCGCATGCAGAGCTGGCCCCTGCGGTTAGGCGGTCTGCCCTGCACGCCCACCGAGCAGGCGGTATTTTTACGCCCAGGCGTACAGAAAGTGCCCGGGATTCTGCTGACGGTCAGCAGTAGCGAGGTGGCATTGCAGGCAGGTGAGATGACGGGCTGCAGAGTCCGTCGCCGCCCTTGCCCCTGGCCGTCGGGGTCCCGCCTTCCGCCGCGCCGACACCCCGGGGTGCTGCGGGGCTGGCTGAGGACGGTGGCCCCACAGCTCACCCGGGGAGGCGCGGCAGGGCTCCCAGGGGTGGCTCATTGAGTTGCGTTTTGCAAGATGAGTAGGTAGCCGTTTTAAGAAGACGGGTGCGATCGCGGCCTAGTCTGCGAACCGCGAGTGGTAGCTGTGGCCGGACGCGGGCTTTGGGGCCGAGCAGGGGCAGCCTGACCTTCCGCTCCACAGGAGGACGGCTGTATTCTGAAGGAGCAGCGCGGGGCCTGATGCGGGAGGATGTCAGGAAGGTGATGTGGCTGCACCCTAGAGAGTAGACGGGGTTGTGAGAAGAGACAGAGGAGAACCTGCGCCAGGGCAGAGACGAAGGGGGGGGGCGCGATGGGGTTCACAGGACGCGGGATCGGCGACTGGCGGGCAGGAGAAACAGGCAGCGGGTGCTCCCGGCGGGCTGGCAGGGGTGGCTGGTTGTGCCCATTAACCGAGGTGAGAATCAGGCCACGCAGTTAAAGGAACGATGAAGTCAGGCTTATAAACCGAGCTGGCTTTGTTACGCTGAGAGTAGAGTTGTCCAGATGTCAGTTGCACATACACACAAGCCAAAAATAAAAGGGCTGTGAGGTTGGTTTAGATCTGGGAACTGGCAACATGTCTTGAAGCCCGGGAATGAGAGGAGCAGGCAGGCCAGAGAATGAGTCTCCAGAAAATACCGGCGTCAGCCGTGAGCCAAGGAAGAGAAGAGCCTGTGGAAAACAGTGAAGACGGGACGGGCGCAGGAGAGGGTGCTGCCGTCACACACGCTGAAAGAGAAGGGACTTTTTTTTTTTAATATGTGAGTCACAGGAATATTATGAATATTATATAGTCAATTAAGAATAATGTTTTTAAGGGTATTGAATGTGGGAAGAGATTCAGTGTTAATACTGAGTAACACTAATTAGCAGTAAGTAAAAAGTCAGAATATTTATAATACAATCCCAATATTGTAAAGTAAACATAAATGTACTCATACATATGCATAGAAAGAGATTTGGAAGGGAATACCCTTAAACTTTAAGTTTCTCAGATGGTAGATTTATGAATGACTTATATTTATTTTATAATTCTTCTTTACTAAAGTAAAAATTTTTAAGAAAGTAAAAATACTTATGTAAATTAAGTGGATTCAGTCAAAACTAATTTGCAGCAGAAATCTTAATAGCCAAATTTGCTCAAAATGGTCCAACTGAATTGTAAACTAGGGATCATTGGTAAATTTATAAAAATATAGGGTGACAGTGGGATCAGAAACCCAATTGGAGGGATTTAAAAAATAAGTTAAAAAAATTTCCTGGTAAGCAGGAAAACCAAAGGTGAAGTATTTGAAAAGTACACTTTCAACAAGCTGATTAAAGACTTACGAAAGTGGGACTGAAGGACTGAGGGCTTTTCTAAGTTGGGAGGAACTTAAAGCATAGTTTTCTGCTGAAGGAAGAGAAAGTGGATAACTTGACAATCTGATACTATTTTTTGGAAAGATAAAATTAGTAACTTCTAATGAGATAATTCCAAGTTCATGATAAACTATGTTAAAGAAAAAAGAGTCAGTTTGTAGTTAGGTGTGATCATTTGCAAGACTAGAATAAGATGTGCCTGAATGTAAAGAATTTGAGCTCAGATATTTTATGTTGTGTGTGTGTATTTAATATTTAGTATTTAGTAAACATATACATGTGAAAATGACTGTCCCTTTATGGAGGAAAACTCTTGAGTTGGGGTTTAGCTAACCTCCAAAGCAGTTTAAAGAACAGCTATAATAAAACGTAGCTGGTCTCTGTCCTGAGTGGCTCTGTTGGGGGGTCAGTTGCTTCCTTCTGTCCTCCTGAAGGTTTTGGCTAAGTTGATAGAGGAAAATGCCGGGGTTGGTTGTCAGTGTATCGGAGGTGGTCAGCGTTTGCCAAAAGCGATGAAGTGGCACCTGGATATCCTTTTAAGATGCTGATGTGGTCTTAGTCATTCCTTAAACTTAGTACATTAAATGATGAACAGGGGATCCTGCAAACGCTGGCAGCTCTGTATGGAGGCAGGCCCAGCTCTTCAAGAGGAGGGAAGCCGAGAAACAAAGAGGAAGAGGTACGCCTCCCGCATGCTCGCTGCCTCCGCCACATCGCCATTTTTTGAGTTTATTGCCTTTCTTTCCTGCATGGTTTCAATTCTTAACAGTTATCTGAGGACTTTGTGGGTCTACAGGGACCTGTTAATATATTTTGACTGACATGCTGTGTCATAATTTTGCCCCATAACTGTTTCAGTATTCTGAGTTCAATTTCTTTTCTTTTGATAAAATTAAACATTTGTAATGTATTTCTTTTCAGAAATAAGTTGATCTAAATTAAACACTTGAAAGCTAATAATACATTTCCATTAACCAGATTTTAAAACTTTTATTTCTTGTGTTCAAATTAACCCTTTTCTTTAAATTAAAAAATTTTTAGCAGTAACATTGTTGATAGTTTTTCTTTTAGATTAAAATGTGCTTTTTTTTCTCCCTGTAGGTTTATCTTGCAAGGCTGAGACAAATAAGACTGCAGAATTTCAATGAGCGCCAGCAGATTAGAGCCAAACTTCGTGGAGAAAAGGCAAGTTGGAAGTCAGTGTTTACAAAAAGTTGAATCCTGTCACAGTGGGTTAGGGCAAAATGCTGTGCCACTAACGCAAAGTGAAGTGGGTGAAGGCCGTGGAAGTCCAAGACCAGAGAACTGTTCCTAGGGATAGTCAGCCTTAGTTACATGCTTCAAAATTGTAAGACCATTTGTTCCAGAGGAATTCAAGAAAGGAAAATGTTAGTAGCCATGGACAGTACAACATGGTACATTTTATATCGTTCTCCTTTCTCCCTTTTTCCCTTTCTCCGTGATTTGATAGTTGTGGAGAGTTTGCCTGCAGCTGTGGGGGAAGATCACAGCGATGCACAGCTCTCCATTTCACATTTTTAGGTGTCGGTTTATTCATATTGTCCTCCACAGAGCTCTGTGCTGAACTGCAGGTTCCTGCCTAAATGCTTTGCTTATCTACTTATTTTGCAGAACGAAGCTGATGATTCGGAAGGACAAGAAGGAAGTGAGGGAGCTGACCTGCGGCGTAAGAAAGTGGAAATGCTCAAGGTACAGGCTAGAAGCGATGCAGGTTTTCTTAGAGAAAATTGAGACTGGAGATAGAAGGTTGTGTTCGTAAGTCTCAGGCGGTTAAATCACCTTAATTTTCTGGAGTTAATTTTTCATTCTCCCTTTATGCCTAACTTTTTGGTTTCAGAAAAATAGCGTTTTTCTCTCTTTATTGTCTTGCATCTATGCTATATGAACAGTTTGATGAAACTGTTGCACAAATATGTTAAACTGTCACACAAGTAACCTAACAAAGAAAAAATGGTGACCTTGAAAATGAAAGCTGCAATTGCCCGGGTCTGTGGACACGGGTGAAGTCGGGGTATAACCATCATAGTTTAGAATCCTTACATTTGGGTTCCTGTTAGCTGGTCCCTGCGCCCGCCTTCACTCGGCAGGCACAGCGCCGCTGCTGGGCACAGCCCTGGTCCGGGCCGGGTGGAGTGAGCCGCGCGCACCCACGCCTCCCTAGCCGCCCCGGGCCCAGGGGGAGACGGAGGCCTGGGGAGAACCAGGAGCCCCTCGCCCCGCTTGCTGGCGTCCGATCGTGCTGACGGTTGTCATTCGCAGGCCAAGGCGAGCGCGCGCGCCGCGGTGCTGAAGGAGCAGCTGGAGCGCAAGAGAAGGGACGCCTACGAGAGGGGGCGCAGGGCGTGGGGCGAGCAGGTGAGCCCCGCCGCCCCGGGGTCTGCCCTCCGGGGCGCCCCTGCGGGCTCGGGCCGGCGGCAGAGCCCCCGACTCCGGCGAGGATGCGCGGTCGTCCCCCGCCCCCACCCCCCCCGCGGCGCGCTGTCCTTTATATCTAAGGACCATCTGTGTGAGAGTCATGTCGGGGTTTGATTTGGGGCGAGAACCTAATTCATTTGCTCGTCCGTTTTATTTCTCACCATCGTCAAGCTCCGGCACCGCTCGGGGGCCGCCCCTTCCCTCCGCTGCCGCTCTGCAGCCCTGCCTCTAAGACACGGAGCGGGACGCCTGTCGCTCTGTCCGTCTGTCCGTCCGGCCGTCCGGCCCACCGCTGCCGGCTCCTTTCAGTGACTGGGGCCTTACAGCGTATTCCCTCATGTCCCCTTTACTCTTCTTTTTACATTTGTTTTCCTTAGTTATTTGCTCTCTTTTTCTTTACTGGATATATTTTAGGTAATTTCTGTTGTTGTTAAATCCTGTTGGAATTTTGATGGGTATTACCTTAAACCTACAAATGAACTGAGGGAAGCATCAACATGTTTTTAATAGTCTTTACCAGGAACATACTAAACACCTACATTTACTCATTGTTTCTTTTATATATCTCTTACTCAATTTTGATCATTTTTAACTCATATTTGTTTTATTTCTTACAAAGGTTATTTCTCAATCATTTATAATTTTTTTCTGTTTTTAAAGGTTTTTGATTTCCTAAAGGATATTGCTGATAGTTGGAGAAATTGTTGTTTTTTGCTTATCTCTTATGTGATGGGTTGGTTTGCTATTCTACCAATTTTCAGTTAATGTTCAGGTTTTCTGCAGGCTCCTCTATCATTAGCAAGTAGTCATGACATATAACGAGCTCCTAGGGTTCATTAATTGCTGGAGTTCACTGTGTGCCAGTCACATTATAACCACCACACCTGCATCGCTGTGATGCCTTTACATCTTTACAGAGCAGATACTGAAAGAGTGAGACTGTTGCCACATTTCCAGTAAGTGCGGAGCAGGGATTTGAACTGGGATGAAGTCTTCATTCTTACGCACTTATTTTACCGTTTCTCTAAATTGTCCCTTTTGCTACCATTTTAGTCTTATTGCATCGGCCAGAACTGCCAAGGAGATGTTAAATAATAATAGGGATAATATTTTGTTCCTATTGTCAGTGGAAACACTTCATTTGTTTCTCTGTTATGCGTAGTAAAATAGAAAGGAATACAGGACTACAGTTCCCATTAATCTCTAGACTTTACAATTTTTATCAGAAATGTGTTCTGGAGTTTTTTGAAATGTCTTTTTGTATATCTATGAATACGATTACGTCTCTTCTCAGTCCACCCGTCGGTGCAATAGACAAGGGGATTCTTTTCCTACCAGATGCCATTTAGCTGCGAGAGTAACGAGTGAAAGAAACTGGGCTCCAGAATCAGATTAAGTCTTGGAGTTTTTTGATGATGCCCTTGTTTTCTCTTCAAAGTGAAATAAGGTCATAACTGCTCTGTCTTCGCCATCCTCTGCAAGCTGTGTTTTTCTCTTTGGTTTGAAAAGTGCAGTCCTAGTGGCCTCTCACCTCGTTCCCCTTTGCTTTCCTCCCTTCAGACGGTGGGAACAGGCTCGAGTGTGAAACAGTAACGGGCGGTGTATCCGGTCTTCCCGGGAGTGCCTCGTAGGGACCTCCTGCCTCCAGGCCAGGACCTCGCCTGGCTCAGGTTATCACGCTGTTCAGGTCGTGTCTTCAGTCCGTGCGCTTTGTTTCAGACAAGGCACAAATAGGGCACGAGAGTGAAACAATCACGGTGCTGACTTACCTGCTCTTCGCCAAGAGAAAGTCGCACCGACCAAATTCATCAGAGGTAGAAATGATTCACCTTTGTAGTCAGAGCCAGTGATTTCTCTTATTACCCAAATGCCTTTGAAAATCACCCTAATCTTGAGAACAGTGTGAGCCTCGCTTGGGCGGCAAACACATGGGCAGGTGGGGACCGGCCGCTCCTGTTCCCTCGGGGTTTGTACGCTCGGCACATTCCATCCTAGGCTGGCTCGCACACTGGGGCGCAGCCTCTCTCAGGATGAACCGGGGTGAGACCCCCTGTGTTCTTTACAGTCAGCTTCCTCTCGGCACACGTGCCACTGCCATCCTTGTGTTCGGCTGCAGTGCCCACCGTGGGCTTTAAGGGCCAGTCCGCCTGGTTGTAGTGCGGTCTCCAGTGACCTGCTCCAGCCGTCCCCGTAGCACGTGGCGGTGACTGGGATAGTGATACGTCCGTTAAATAGGATGGACTTAGGCTTACTGTGAATCAGCCAAGTTCTTAAAATGTGATCTGTTATGAAGAATTGCTTGGGCATCAGAGCATTTGATAATAGCTGCCCGTGTGGCTTTGATTCTGTGATACCTGTAGTCTTTCGGGGTCAGCTACTCAAGTCTGTTCCCATCCGGATGCACATGTAGCCCCGCCTTGGCAGCAGGCCTACATATATAGTCCACCTGGCACACTGTGCCACCCGTTCACACACCTTGTATATTCCCCACATGGTAGAATAGCAGCTCTGAGTAGTCATGTTGTGATTGGCACGTGATATACTGAGGTAGCATATTTATCAGTGTGAGGTGTTTCCTTTTCTTCCAGTCATGTAGGAACTCCTTCCTTTAGTGATTCAGAATGTTATTCTAACAGCAACTCAAGCCACCTAATCTCAGAGAACACAAGCATGAGCTTTCACATCGTGTTTGTTTTCCAAAATCCACCCTTGGTAGACTAAAACATAGCCCACAAACATCTTTGAATGTGGTCTTAAGTACATCTTGTATAATGGTTTTCTGAAGCACAGCTCCCTAAAAAGGCTTCCTTTTTTAGCTTGCTTCCCATTGCCCTGACCCTTCAGCAGGAGCCTGACCACCATCCGAGAGTCCAGAGAGACGTGGGCCTGGTCATCCAGTAGCTGCGCGTGGCTGACTGTCACACTTACCCCTTTGCCTTCCTCCCCCATTGGCACTTGCGCTGACATCCCTGGGCTGCAGTCCTACGCTTGCAGGTGGAGCTGTGCTACCTTGATTTTCATTGAAATTGCTCAGCACGGTGCCCAGT